TTAAAAATCTTATTAATTATGTGTTCGGTGTCTCGTCATTTTTTGTTCATATTAGTTTGTAACCTGTGTAATCTCTTTCTATACTTTTATAGTTTCTGTTTATATTCTTGAATCTTGATTTCTTTTTATTTCATCTTCTTTTCACGCTTCCTTTTAGCTTGTTTCCTTCTTGCTTCTTTTAATGGATTTAATAAAAAAAAATGTGACTTCTTTCATGGCTTTTTTCTTTTTGCGATAAGTAGTACAGTGCTTTCTCCAGGTTTGTTTTACAGCCTTGTGCTCACGACGACTTATGCTCTTGACTAATTTCCTAGTGCCTTTTTCTTTTGGTTTTTTTTTATTTCCGCCTCTCTTTTTCTTTCATTTTTTCTCTCTTTTAGGGGTCATTTTGGAGTCGTTGATACCTCAAACGTTCAGCTGTATATTTTTGTTCTAATATTTCTTCTCTAGTTTTGGGTGGCATTTTGAAACATTACCTATAATAAGCAAATTAAATTAATAAGCAATAAAAACCCCATTATGAATTACGCCTTTGTACCTTAATCTCTATACATCATGTTTATGTTGTAACCTGTTTGTGTACAATAAAGTGCTTACATACAAACAAATACAAATTATACGCAATGTCACTCTTACAACTGAGATATACCCAACGATCATATGTTAAAATGTATGAGGCTGTTCAGACTGCGGAACGTATAAAAAAATTACAGACATGCATAGAGTAAAACCATTATAAAATGAATTCTGCAGTCAACCTATACTCGATAAACAACCCTCTTTGTAATGTAAACGGGTAAAAAGGCAATATTTCCAATGTTATTGTAAACACCGCCTTTATTGTGTGTTTGCCAAGCTAAATGTGACGAAACCTGAAAGAAACAGTCAATGTTATAAACAAACAGTGATATAAAACAGTCACATGTGTTATGAGATGGCAGGGGACTGTTTGCCAGGGGACTGTCTTTTTCACGTAGAAAGTGTAGTATCATTAAAATATTTTGAGTATATTAAGTTTAAAAAGCAGGCGTAATAACATACTTACTTAGAAATTATTTAAAAATATATACCAATTAGTCATTTAAAACAATCAAATAAATGCTTACCAGTGGACTGTTTCGACGTGCAGCCAGGACGCGTGGTTTTACCTTAGAACGCATTGGTGACACTAAATAAAATGTCGACGGCGCGCTTCGTTTGCAACCGAACGAACTTCACAGCATGCCACGCACCAATGTATAATACAATTTCAGAGCATTTTTCAAATCGTAACAGGGGACTGATCGAAAATATTGAGGACAGCATTTGTCATACCGAATTTAATATTAAATTTCCACTTGAAAATATAACTTTGTTTTACAAAGATACTTAATGTATTCTATTATTACTTGAATATTTATCCTTTGGAAATAACAATAAAGAAAATATTTTTTTTTGTCATGAAACTTCAAATTCTGGAAATGGGACACTACAGGGGACTGTGTTTTGAGGTGGTTAACGTGCATTTATTATAATATTACAATATTATATTACACTTAAGCAAAAGCGTACGAAGAATAACTAGTACTCTATCGTTTTTAATATATAGAACTCAGTAATATAAACATCTTATACGTAAAATTTGCCGCGGACAGCGATTTTCCAATTAGTGGAGAAACACCCATATATGTTAGACGATAAGGTATTTATCTATGGGCCTATGTAGCCTGATCATAAATAAATAAATAAAAATATAAAGAAAAACATTACATAATTATACATCAGTTATGAGTGAAATGAAATGAAATGAAATGAAAAGTCATTTATTCAGTCTAGGCTGTTACAAGCATTTGTGAAGGTCAGAAGCTACGGCATCGGTTCGCAAAACTACGACGGGAGACCTTGTACTGAGAAGAACCGGCAAGAAACTCAGCAAGGGCTGCTTTTTTCTCCCTGTATTGATATATACAGAGTCGTCAAGTTGAAAAATGACTTAAGAGATACTTCTGAAGTCACCTTCCATTACATCATTTAGGATATGTATATATACAGTTACAATAATAATTTTATATTTAGTATATAGGAAGCGGCATTAGATAGGTACCATATTACTGTTACAAAAACTGACTAATACCCATCAAATAACAAATTACAAGAAACACTATGTCCATGCATTACGATCTTTTAGATAATCAAAGTAAAGACCTATAGTGCCGAAAAGTGATATTTACTATATTTTTGAAGTTATACTTCTTTAGGCGCGTTATGAAAAAATGATGAGAGTGAAATTTTAGGATGCGCGCGCATCACTGTAACACAAAATTTTAACAGCATGAGCGGTCGCTGTAGCGACCAACTTCATGCGTTACTTTTGTGTTTACCGCACATTAAGAAAATCTACCAACAAAATAGAAATAGAATCTCTATTTAGTGGGTGCTAACGACTGCATTGTGAAGGCCTATCAAGAGTATTTATTAATCTGGAACAACGGAACCAAAGCGTGATTCAGGAGACTACAGCGCCATCTCTTGACCATTGGTGTAGTAGAACCAAAAACCACATCTTTATTTTTTTCTATGGTCGCACTTTCTTTCTCTACAGACCGACAAGGATTCCCACCAATGCGAACGAAAATGCGAACGATTTTTTAAGTTTGATTAAAATTATGGTTTCTCTTTCTTTGTAATGGAGTCGAACATTACCTCACTTCTACCACCATTAAATTAAATTAAGTGCGGTTTAAATGCGGTCTCTAGACCACTAAAAATTGTGAAGTTGCGATATAAACTACTAGAGGTACCCTGCAGACTGCGAACAATACCGTGGCTGAATGGTTTGTACGCCGTGTTTTACGGTGTCGCCTACTCGAGAGGTCCCGGGTTGAATACGAGCATTTGTACACCAGGAATACCTCATGGATGTTAAATATGTATTTCTATATAAATATACTTATATATGTATTCTATCCGTCACCCTAGTATCCCATAAAACAAGCCTACAGTGCTTATTTTGAGGCTAGGCTAATTGGTGTGAATGTCGGATATATTTGCTATCATTATTAATTCCGTGATACATTCTTTTTTTGTGTAACTTTTTCCGTTTATGTTGCGCACGCGAACGAAGGTCTCATTAACGTTCGTGGATAGAAGCACGTTTTCAAATCCAGTTGTTGTTCCTGAGATGAGCGCGTTCTACTTAACATACACAGTCTTGAACTTTATATAACATTATTTATTTATTTATCTTTATTTATTTATAGATATTATCATCAACAAGTTTATTTATTTATTTTGGTTACATGGAAGACCAACTGCTTATCTCAGTATCTTATCAGTCGTGGCACGAAACTCTAGCGCTGACCGTTATTGCGCAGAACTGAAAATTAAGATGTCTTGGGGGAAACAGAAGTGCGCGGGCGGGCGTGCGTTGCGACGATTAGCTCTCCAAACGTCCCCATACGCAGATATTCCCTCCGCGTTTTGTTCAGCGCTAGATTTACGGCGGGTACACATTGGGCGCTCGGCGTTGCGTTGAGCGCGCGTTGATTGCATACACACGCCGCGCTCGGCTGGGCGTTCGGCGAGCGTTTAGTAGGGTGTGTTTCTGGAAGTCCGAAAATGGATGCCCAAGTGATTACTTGTGTGTGGCTCCTCTACCGTCGCTATAAAAGACGGCGTATTTTTTTTTTATTTTAGTCTTTTTAGCGTCTTATTTTTTTTATAATCGGGACATTTCATGTCCCAAATAGCTGGTCTTGGATCTGGCTTTTGGATTTCATCAATAAAGAAATCTGTGTCAAAATGTTCGGTATCCATTTTTCCGTTGAACTGACGTCTACACTACACCAAAGCGCGCGATCAAATGTACAACAAAATGGCGGCCCAAGTATTTCGAAGCGCGCAGCTAACGCCCGCGCAGCGCGCGATCATACGTAAAATATGAGAACGCGCGTTTGACGCACGCTTTACCAGAATCGCGTGCTTGCATGTGTACACTTCAATAGAACTCCTGGTTCTCGAAACGCGCGTTAGCAAAGCGCGCGTTGGAAAACGCTTAATGTGTACACCACTTTACGTGTCACAACCTGTATCTATACTAATATGTGGTTTGTTGAAAAGACATTATTATTTCAGACTCATTATTTCATTGACATATTGCATTTATTGAATCAATTATTAATTTCTGGTTTCCTAAACTTACACTTTTTAATATTGCCGCCATGTAAACCCATGCGGAAAAATGTGATAAGATACCTACACGTAATATGCACAACCGACTACGCGTACTGGCTCCTGCTAATGCATATCGCTGTTTTTTACCGGTTCGTTTCGATATGGATATTTTTTACGGTAGGCTTGCACACACACACACACACACACACACACACACACGCACACACACACACACACACACACACTACACCAAACACGTACACACTCATTTACACAAATTTAGTCATCATGCTCCAATTATATATTTTTTTCATTTATTTAGGACAAAAAACAGTCTCACAATAGCTGTTACTTTTGGATACTTAGTAAATAAATTACTCATTGTGACACCAACAACAATGTCCACATAATTAAGCATAACAAAGTCCTTAATGAGAGCTGACATTCTGTTTTAGTTAAAAACAATAACATATGAATTTGCGCTTAGTTGTTACTATACTACAAAAAAAGTTACTTGTACATAGTTAATTTATACTTTACTATTAGATATTAACATATTTTTTTTCTAGTAATATTTTCTTTAGATTTAAGATTTAAACATTGAGCAGTTACAAACTTAAAAATTAAAATTATAACACATACATCTAGTCCAAGTAGTCTGTCATCACATTTAAAGTAATGTTGGTTGTACCTCAAATTACTATCAACAAGTCCACACTACCATTTATACCAAAGTGTTTTGTATTGTATTGTGGATTGTAAAACAAAAAGAAATGCTATCTGATTGGTATTATGAAAGTGTCAAACAACGACTGTGTATCAAACATCAATTATTTCCTTAATTTCAGTCACAATGTCTTCGAGTATACTGAAGGAGTTCCCAGTGGAGAAGGAGTATGAAAAGAACCCAAACATCAAACCAGATGACATAAAGAAACTGCGAGAATGGCTGAGGACCCAACCACACCTCCCTGCGGAACACCTCACGGGTAACGTACCTCCAACTTTTATCTTGCACTACCACTCTAGGGCCAGCTGTGGTTTTACCTGCGTCAATTTGAGGAAAAAGATCATAGTGGATTACCCTTAAAACTTTTAAAGAAAAACAATCTATATACATATATAAAACTCAAAGGTGATTGACTGACATAGTGATCTATCAACGCACAGTCCAAACCACTGGACGGATCGGGCTGAAATTTGGCATGCAGGTAGATGTTATGACGTAGGCATCTGCTAAGAAAGGATTTTGATCAATTCTATCCCCAAGTGGTTAAAATAGGGAATGAAAGTTTGTATGAAACTTTGTCAATTTTAAACCGATCGGGCTGAGACTTTGTATGCAGGTATAAGAAGAATCATAGATGAATGTCATTGTGTATAATACAAGCCTGAGAACAAAAACTGTAGTCTACACTTCAGCTCTACCCCGAACCGAAGCAAGGGCGGGCCGCTAGTTCCTCATATAGGTTTTTTGTAACTTTTACTATTGACGCAGCGCACGCAACGAAGGCTCTCAAATCTCAATTTTTTTCTCGTTTTTGCAATATTTTTCATCGATGCTCCTTTCCGATTCTTCATAGCGTTATGTTATATAGCCTATAGCCTTCCTCGAAAAATGAACTATCTAAGACATAAAAAAATAAAATGGGACAAGTAGTTCCTGAGATTTGCGCTTTCAACCAACCAAACAAACAAACTTTTCAGCTTTATATATACAGTATAGATAATGTTTGTAATGGTCATCTTTAAATAAGTTTTTTTTTCTATCCGTATGTTCCGCCTTCGTCTATACATTACCAATTAAAAATAATTGGTTTATTTATTATTTTCAAGAATAAGCTAACAGTTACACATTGAAGTAAGCTTCAAGTCAGTGTAAATGAGTTAATAAGCGCGTGGTTAATATGAAGTAGTTAACTACGTATCAATTAATATAATGCTTAAGGATAAGAATGAAATTCCATTCTTTAGTTTCTAAGAACTAATAACAGGTAAATTAAAGACTAACCACGAGTAAGAAATTAAATCGAAAAATAGCCAAGTGTGAGTCAAACACGCACATGAAGTGTTCCTTAACATCTAATCTTTATATATATAATTCTTCTGTGAGTGTGTATGTCACTGAACTTCTCTTAAACGACTGGACCGATTTTGATGAAATTTTTTGTGTGTGTTCAAGGGGATCTGAGAATGGTTTAGATTCACAATTTTGTCCGCTGGACAACCCCTATTTTTTTAGGGCGGTACGAAGTTCGCTGGGTCAGCTAGTCTAATATATAAAATTCTCGTGTCGCGGTGTTTGTGGTTAAACTCCTCCGAAACGGCTTTCCCGATTCTCATGAAATTTTGTCTGCATATTGGGTAGGTCTGAGAATCGGACAACATCTTTTTTTCATTCCCCTAAATGTTAAGGGTAATCCACCCTAATTTTTTTTTTCAATTTTAGGTTTTTTTTTAATTTTTTTATGATACATCATACAAAAATACATACAACCCTAAATTTTCACCCTTCTACCACCAACCCCTATTTTTTTATGGCGGTACGAAGTTCGCTGGGTCAGCTAGTTGTACTATAAGATTTAACACTACGTAAGATGAGTTTTTAGCTCCTAAAATAACAATGATTTTAAGGAAGCTTCGTCCTTTATATTTAGTGAACTTGCGAAATCAAAAGGCTGCGATCGTTGAAGTTAAGCAACTTTCGCAGTGGTCGGTCATTGGATGGGTGACCAAAAATTTTTACTATCTCGATCTACTCCGTGCTTCGAAAGGCTCGTTAAGCCGTTGGTCCCGGCTACATCTGCAGTCGTGAGCACCCATCTATCCGCACTGGGCCCGCGTGGTGGTTCATGGCCCAATCTCCCTATTCCATCCATAGGGAAGCCCCAAAAGACGAAATTTGTTTAAGGGGTATAAATGTTTGCCTCCAAATAATCATACCTTGCTCGCAAGTAGAATTAAAAAAAAAACGTTAATTTTAATAAAAAAAAAACATTATTATAAATTACGTCCATTCTTAACACGACTCTGAGCAATGTCGTGATTTTGTGTCGTTTATTTTACGCAATTGTCGCGATTATATTTCTCAACTTGTTCGCACGGTTTTACAATTTGTTATTGTACTGTGTACTGACGTAGATAGTTGTCACAGATGAGTGAAATTAGCAGTAGATTTGTATGCGGCTGTTGATATGTGTTAACGCATGATTAAGAAGTTCTTAAGCATAACTTACGTCCTAAGCATAACTTACGTCCTAAGCGGTGACACTCCCTGTACGTGAGAGTTCCAGCGTCAGTGACCTTGAGCAGGAGCGTGTATGCGCTAGGGTTGAACTTGGAATTTAGACTTGTGCCAATGAATATTTATGCATAGTAAATTATTAAATGTAAACTGATTCAAGAATACTGGGGTAAATAATGAAGGATAGGTTTGATTTTATAATCAATTTTTTATCATTTAATGTAGGTACTATAACAAATTGCTAACTTTTATATATTTTCTCCTTTTTCGATTCGTTTTATAGTTCTTATTATTATCTAATTAATAATAAGATTGCGTAGCGTAGTCAGTCTGTGCGTGCAATGCAGTGCAACGCTATTATTTTACTATTTCGCTACTGCCATGCCTTTGGCGAGGCAGTCGGCGACTGCCCTCTCCACGTCCCGCGCGCCGCGCAACGCCCCCGCGCACCTCCAGACACCCACACATAGTCGCGGGCGATTTTACGAGCACACATGCTTAAGTGTCGTTTCTTTTCGCGTAGTGTATATATTCTGTGCCTATAGCAAAATGGCCCTACCAATATCTAAATCTAAACTCGAATTGGTCCAAAGTAGCCCTTTTGCAATGTGTGTCAAAATATAGAACAGATTGCCATTATCTTTAAAAAATGAAAGTATCTTACTGGATTTAAAAACAAATTGAAAAAGCGCCTTTGTTCAAAGGGCTACTATACACTGCAAGAGTATTTTAATGACAAAGAATTAAAATGATGATTTTTAGATTTTTATTGTGATACTAGCTGACCCAGCGAACTTCGTACCGCCATAAAAAAATAGGGGTTGGTGGTAGAAGGGTGAAAATTTAGGGTTGTATGTATTTTTGTATGATGTATCATAAAAAAAAAATAAAAAAATTATCTATAATTGAAAAAAAATAAATTAGGGGTGGATTACCCTTAACATTTAGGGGGATGAAAAATAGATGTTGTCCGATTCTCAGACCTACCCAATATGCACACAAAATTTCATGAGAATCGGGAAAGCCGTTTCGAAGGAGTTCAACCACAAACACCGCGACACGAGAATTTTATATATTAGATAATTTATTTAATAATATAACGTGTAATTTATTTAATGCAATTTTTATGATATAGAATTTATTTTATTTTAAATTAATTTTATTGATAAGTAAGATTTTTGATGTGTTTTAAATTTATATTTATTTATTAAAAAAATTAACAAGCTCTTTAAAGCACATTGTTATGCCCTAGCCGGCTTCGTGTAAGGATCTAAATTAACTCTTTGTAACACCTCTGTACAACTACATGAAAAAGCAATAAATATGATTATGATTGTTATTATACTCTCATTTATTTCATTTCACAAGTTAGGTTTTTTATAAAATAGATATAAAAGTAAAATACAAAAACGTAAATACAAAAATAAATATACCTAGTATAAAAACCTAACCTAGAAGGCCACCAGCAGCGGAGCTAGGCCCAAGCTACCGGTGGTTAGGGCCGCAGAGAAAGAAACCGCCTGACGATGCGCGCCGTGTCCAGGAGTACTGCCTTTTGCATCTGCCCCTTGACCCAACCATCTAGCGAGATGCTCTTTAGATGTTGGTCGAGACTCTTCGCTATGAGACCGTTTACGCTAACGACTATAGGGACAATGATCGTCGAATCCACATCCCATATTATTGTTATTGATTGTTATTATTATTATCAAGGCCTGTGCCCCAGCAGTGGGGACATTAATAGGCTGATGATGATGATTATGTTCCGCCTGCACCGGAACGTCGCTCCATTTCTACAAGTAGAAGAAGCTTGGACCCACGTGATCAAAAAACCCCCCTCAACACTTGGAACTCTCTATGCAATTCAAATATTGTACGCTTAACTTTCTTTCCCAATTTTCTTTTTATTCGCTATATACCTACTCATTATTCGAGAAACAACTGAGCTTTATTGAAGAGTACGCATAACGCCGATACAATATGTTTTTACTAGCGGAATTAATGAAGAATAAAATCTATTATTCTTTATTTTTATAGTTTCAAACATAATTTAAATTTCAATATGAAATAAGCAGTGCCCTTGTACAAATTTCTTGTTCTTGTTCTATTTATCTGTTTTATTGAGTGTGTACTAAATTACTAAATAAATAAATTATGTTATCACTACTTTCCTTCCAAGTTGTAGTAATACTAGCTTAAAACAAAAAATATACTATAACAATGAACCTAAAACTAAAAACCTTAAAAAATAAAATATAATAACTAAAATACATTATTAAAAGGAGTCCCTTTAGGCAAGGTTCCGAAGATACTGGCAGCGTTCCCCCTTTGGATAGCTAGACTAATTCTTTGTCCGAGGTAGCTGCCAGCTCTTCGGTCTCCTGTGATGTCGACTAACCTTTTTGCTATTTCTTTAAAAAGCCTTATAGCGCTAGGACCCCACGGACCAAGGGTCTCGACACCGAATGGGACAAAATCATATTCGGAGCCTAGACCCCTGCATGCCTTAGCTTTTTCAGCCGCTTCACAAGCCGCACCAGCTCTGTTGTTGGTTCCATGTAGATGGGAAGGGGCCAGCGTGTCTGAACAGGTTGCATCCCATACTAGCACCCGACCCATCTTCCCATCTTCCATGGAATCAAACTCATACCTCATTTTAATTCTTATTTTGCGCTTACCAAGCGCTTAATAGCGTTCGATTCTATTGACGTATATTTAAATTAAATAAATGATATGAATAATATT